TTCTGCACACCTATAGGCCCAACACCATGTGGATGCCACCAAGGCTTCGGGCTTGTACCCTCTAAAACCATGGCCCAAGCCACACCTTGGCCCCTTTTAGCCATGGCAGGAGCTGGACCAGCTGGGGTGCCATGTCCCAGGGCTGCACAGAGCAGCTGGCCCTGTATCTGGCTCATGAAACCATTTTTTCTTTCTAGGTCTCCAAGCCTGTGATGGCAGGGTCTGCCGTGATGGTCTGAAATGCCCTAGAGACATTTTCCCCCACTGTCTTGGCTGTTAACATTTGGCCCCTCTTTACTTATGCACATTTGGGTGATAGGCTTATATTTTGCCCCAGAAAATAGGTTTTTCTTTTGTACCACATAGTCAGGCTGCAAATTTTCCAAAACAGCCAGGTCACCTCTTGAATGCTTTGCTGCTTAGAAATTTCTTCTGCCAGATACCCTAAATCATCTCTCTCAATTCCAAAGTTCCACAGATCTCTAGGGCAGGGGCAAAATGCCTCTAGCCTCTTGGCTAAAGCGTAGCAAAAATGACCTTCCTCCAGTTCCCAGTAAGTTCCTCGTCTCCATCTGAGACCACCTGAGGCTGGATGGACTTCATTGTCCATATCATTATCAGCATTTTGGTCAGAATCATTCAACAAGTCTCTAGGAAGTTTCAAACTTCCCCACATCTTCCTGTCTTCTTCTGAGCCTTCCACACTGTTCCAGCCTCTGCCTGTTACCCAGTTCCAACATTGCTTCTACATTTTCAGGTATCTTTATAGCAGTGCCTCACTCCCTGTACCAATTTTCTGTATCAGTCCGTTTTCACAGTGCTATAAAGAAGTACCTGAGACTGGGTAGTTTATGAAGAAAAGAGATTTAATTGACTCACAGTTCCACAGGCTGCACAGGAAGCATGACTGGGAGGCCTCAGGAAACTTACAGTCATGTGGAAGGCGAAGGGGAAGCAGGCACCTTCTTCATGTGGCAATAGGAGAATGAAGGAGGAGGTGCCACACACTTTTAAACCATTGGATTTCATGAGAACTCACTGTCACAAGAACAGCAAGGGGGACATCCACCCCCATGATCCACTCACCTCCTACCAGGCCTTTCCTCCTATTCAACAGGAGATTTGAGTGGGGACACAAATCCAAACCATATCACACTATAACAATAGATATATGTCATTATAAATTTGTCCAAACTCATGGAATGCACAACATCAAGAGTAAACCCTAACATGGACTCTGGGTAATACTGATGGATCAATGCAGGTTCATCAGTTGTGACAAATGTGCCACTCAAGTTGGGGAGTTTAATAATGGAGGAAGCTATGCATGGTGGGGAAGAGAAGATAAGGGAAATCTCTGTACCTTCCTCCCAACTTTTCTGTGAACTTAAAACTGCTCTAAAAAATAAAGTGTTTTTTAAAAAATAGTGCATTTATAACCACTGTCACTACCATTACCACCACTTCTAGTACTTCTTATATCCCTTTTCTGCTACATATTTCTCCTTCGTGCTTAGTACTTAATCACCTTTTAATGCATATATGTGTGACATTAATGGATATTAAATATATTGTAATGAATTTGTGGCTGACTCTGGAGAGTGGGATTGCATAGGTAGGTATTTGAAGCACAGTGTTTACTTTTTTACTTTTACGTCTCTGAATAGTATTAGAGTGTTAATGACAACTTACCTTATAAAGTTTTTTGAGCATTGGCTGGGCGTGGTGGCTCACACCTGTAATCCCAGCACTTTGGGAGGCCGAGGCGGGCAGATCACAAGGTCAGGAGATTGAGATCTTCCTGGCTAACACGGTGAAACCTCCTGTCTACTAAAAAAAAAAAATACAAAAAACATTAGCCAGGTATGGTGGCGGGCGCCTGTACTCCCAGCTACTCGGGAGACTGAGGCAGGAGAATGGTGTGAACCCGGGAGGTGGAGCTTGCAGTGAGCCGAGATTGCGCCACTGCACTCCAGCCTGGGTGACAGAGCGAAACTCTTGTCTCAAAAAAAAAAAAACAAAAAGGTTTTTGAGCATTAAGTGATATAATATCTGAATAGTATTTAGCACAGCCCTTGACATAATGAAATTCTGCCTGTATGCATTACTACTGTCGTTGGAATTGTTAAGTGACATCTCTTAGCAATGCCTGTATGTATGAAGGTTCTGTCTGTGTCCTATGCGTTCCATCCAAGTCAAAGGATAATAGAGTATACCAGAATGAGATTATCCAAGGCCCTTGACATAAGAATTTCTAGAACTATCTAGTAAAATTGGAAAGAGCCTCATTAGACTCATTTTGGAGATTATTTACAAGTGTTCTATCCTCTCTTATGACGTTAGATATATCAACTTTGGAAATGGATGCTTATGTTAACTGGGCACGCAGTGTTTTCTCTTCACACCAAGTGATGTTATCTTTGATCCAGTGCGGACCCAGGCTCTCTTTGCCACCGTAGTAGAGAATTTAACTGATAGTTCTAGCTCTCTTCTGCCCTGATCTTGTCCTGACCTCTGAAGAGATGAAGCCCTCTTATATATAGATGGTCCTGTCTGCAACTCATCTGGAACTTATAAGCTAAGATTTCAGAAGAGAGATATATTAGACAACCCCTCTAATCTTTGAAACATCTTTTAGGTCCACTTGCACACACTGTGGTTCTGATTATGGCCTCTAGTAAATGTTAATGATAGAAAAAACAGCTTTTATTTTGGTGCATTAAGCTTATATTGACCATTTTGAGCATAAAATCAGGTAAACTGAAATTTAACACTTGTTCTCTTTCTGAAATGTGTTTACTCTTATATATTTTTTGTTTGTTGAGTTTTTAAATGCTAATTTTAAAGACTCATAATTAGGTGACATTTTTACTCAGTTTAAGAATTCAATTCATATTTTATTAATGAATTGTAGACTACTATATTTTTAAAATAAAGGAGAGCCTATGTGTTACAAAATAGCAAGTAACATGGTTTTTTAGCTTATATTTTTCATTGTTGAAAATAAATCTAATATCTTTATGTCTATAAATTACATTTTGGATCTAAATCTATACACTGGTTGTTATTTAGTTCTTGTATTTTATATATGAGTTATAATTAGTTATGCATGTCTGTGAACTTTATATATTTTGTATCTAATTATATTTTTCTGTTAATATATTTTCATTCACGTTTTATAAATATTGAAATTATTTCACAAAAATACAGTATTTGTGTTTTAAAATAATTTAATCCTTAGTAGATAAGTTTATAAAACAAAAATAGTAACAGAGATCTTGCCATTATACACATTTTACCTTATTAATAAGTGATACATCAGCCAAACAGTGCTAAAGCTAATGCTGTAGAAATAAGATTAATCTGACCATTGCGGCCTTCTTTCAGCACGTCCAGTAAATTCTGGATGGATGCCCTGTATATTTAAAAGAGTGCCCTGAGAGAGGAGAGACTTAAAGCACAAAAAGTAGCATTAAAGTAAACTCAATTTTCAACGATGTTTCCTCACCTAGATAGCATATGTAGGGTAAATATATTTTGAAAAACCATTAAAGAATCTGGTAGATATTTTTCAAGATCAGAAATATGAACTGGAGCATACCTGACTAAATTGTAAACAGAACTGCAGGATAGCTGATGTTTACGTTTAATGGGCAACAAACGCCAAGTCAGTAACCTCTGTTAAAATTGGAATCGGTAATCCCTGATTCACCACAGTGAAGGCCAAATTTTATGTAATCTTATATACTACTAGTTCAACAAATATTTGAAGACTTACTAAAGACTTACTATAGCACCCTACACTAGTAAATATATGTGTATTTTAAAATCTGCAATTTAATTAATGTTTCATTCTATATGAACTTAGTTTTAAAATAGGCTAAATAATTTCAAATACAACTTTTTCATATTCATGCAGTGAAGTTACTGAGTACCTAGAGATGCCTGGCACTGTGCTGAAAACTATAGCATATATTGTTTCAGTACTCTTTTTTGAAAATTTTAGAAAGTAATAATTTGGATCAGAATATTGTATCAGCTTGCCTGGAGTTGCTACCTACTTTGAAATCTTTGATATATAAAATATATACATATGGCAAAATTAAAAGCAACTAAATGAAGTCATTCTATTTATCAGTACAGTCTTGCACTTATTTCAAACAGAATTGAAATATGTTATCTGCTTGTTATATTCTATGCCTCCCAGCCTTCTGATTAGTACTCCTTAGAATTCTTATAAAAATTTCCAAAGAAAATGGTGGTTATTTCAAAAGACAAGATATAATGTCCATTTTTAATTTTGTCTTTAGAAGTATATATTCAAGGAAATTTGTATCTTAGATTAAATGAAATGTTTTTAATTTTTTGTTACTGAAATTGTTTAGTCGGGCCCTACATATTAATCATACGTATAACTAGAAAACTTGCTAAGAATAAATTTTAGAGAAATAATATGTAATGGTTGTTTACATGTTTAATTGCATATTTCAGTGATATAAAATTTAAGAAACCTTAAGAGATTTTTACATAGATGGCACAAAAATGTAAAATATTTTCATGCTTAAAATAAGCTAGGCAACCTGGTTTTCTTTACATAAAGTTTGTTATTCACTTTTTTTTATTGAAGGTGATATTTATATTCCAGCTCAAATGAGGGTTGAATTGGTTTAGTCTGTGTGTATTGTTCCATGAAGAGAAAGGCTAAGTGATTCTAGCATAGACACCAAAGCTACTATCCTTGTTTGTCCTTGTTGCTTCTTGAAGGAAAATCTTGTTCATCTAAGTTATTACATATTGATGTGTCTATGGTTTATATTACTAATAAAAAGACAATTGAAAAGAATGAAGAAAATGTATCAAAGTTCTTATGAGATTGACTAAAACTACTGTTTTTACATAGCCTTAAATATATTTTTTAATCTTAAACATAAGCATTTGCCCAACCTTACAGAACACTTTTTATATTCTTATAAATATCTTAATTGTTTTTTTTCTTCTAGGGGATATTCGTCTAACCCCAGAGGACTTTGCTAGAGCTCAGAAGTACTGCAAATATGCTGGCAGTGCTCTGCAGTATGAAGATGTAAGCACTGCTGTACAGAATCTACAAAAGGCGCTCAAGTTACTGACGACAGGCAGAGAATGAAGCCTTTGTATAACAGACCCATGTATTTTTGGCATGAGGAACTAACAGTCCATTACTCTATCTTCAGCCTATCAGGATCACAGTTTTAAGGAAGACTTGGTTTCATTTAATATGACAATGAAATCTGTGTGTATCAGATTTTTATTGAAGCATTCATCAGCAGCCTCAACCAGTTTTCGTTGTCCATTTAGTAGATTCAGTCATCTCTGAGTATATAGGGCTGATCTCAGCAAGACCCTAAAAATTCTCATTGAACCCCGCTTCAACAAATGAAAACACATCTATAAAATATATACTGGGAATAACCTTTGTATTTACATACATTAGGGGAATTTTTTAAAATCTGTAATGTTTGGACAAACATGATATTACTTTGCTATAAAATTATAAATGTAACTTTTAATAAAGATTGCCAGAATATTCTAAATTAGAAATTATGTTTTTGTTTCCCTCAAGACATAAAACAAATATGAACATTCTAAACTGGTGGATTAATCTGAAAAGACATTCAGTTCAAATTTTAATTTATTCTCATGTTAAATATAACTCCATTAAAAGTTTAATATTTCATGGGAGAAAATACGATAAGGTAAAGAGGTAGAAACACTTTCAGACTTAAGAATAATGTTGATTCCCCAACTGCTTTACCTTATTTATTAAAGCATAAGATGAATTGGTATTTGCTTCATAGGCAGTTTGACTGCATGTATTAGAGAATGAAAAGAAGGTATTTGCCTGGAAACTTGGTGCTCTAAATTAAGGTACTCCTCTGCTGCTGTAGAATGGATTCCACACAGTGGATAGCTATGGATGATTCAGAATATTATGTTTAGATTCCCATTTGTTAAGTTTGTAAGTTTTGTGGGGAATTATGAACTTGCTGTGTACCACCTGCATTTGTACTGTGTGAAAAATAAATACAAGGATTCGTTTAGCTAATTCAACTTACTACAAAGACAAATGTCTGTTTTTATTTGCCTGCTAGAATTGTCTTTTTTTAAAGTCATTTTTATTTATAGGAATATGGGTGTTTCTATAGGAAGAAACAGGTTTTTTTTTTTTGTTGCTGTTTTTAAAGATAAATTTGACAAAGTTACCTGAAATTTATCTGGTCCATTTTATTCATGCTACTAAGATGGAAATCTTTAAACACAAGGGTGAGCAAGCTTTGGCTCGTGGATTGGCCACCTGTTAATGTAAATAAAGTTTCTTTGAAACAAGCCTATACTCGTTCATTTATGTTTTGTCTGTGGTTGCTTCACAACTGCAGAGTTGTATGGCTTGCAAATCTGAAAACATTTACTGTTTGGCCCTCTAAGAAAAAGTTAGACACCTAGTCTAATGGCCTGTTTGGGAAAAAAACGCATCACTAACTCATAATCATTTATATCCATTATTTTCTGCATAAATGTAATGCTATTGTACAAGGTTTGGTAGAATAAATATTCAGACTGACTATTCTAAATTATCGCAAAAATATCCCCAAAAAACATGCCTCCTAAAAAACATTTTCCTATCTTTTACAAGATGTATGAACATTTGTAGGGTTCCACATTTGCATCTAGAAATCCAGTGCTCTTCAGAATGTTACTAGATCGCCAGGATGACCTTTAGTGTTATATGATGTTCAGCAAATTTTAATTTAAACCTTGGTATGTCTGTACACTAAAAAGTAAACCCATCACCTCCCATTTCATACCATACCTTTTGGTTCCCAGTTGGGAGAGCACGTGGAGGGAAGGAGATGATATAGAAACTATGGAGTCCGCTGATAGTGGGCTGCATGGTGTGACAGAGCCCTTCTCTGTGAAATAGAAATGACACCACTAGCCATCTCAATAGTCATGAGAATTAAAAGAAATACAGTACCCGAAGTGCTTAGCACCTTGGTAGCATTTCATAAATGTTTAGTGTCAATACTAATGCTCTAGTAATGTAAATTGTTAATTTATTTCCCAAGTATCAGGAAATCCCAGTTGTCTATGTGGCCCAGTGCTTAAAAATGCCTTCTTGCATGAGGGGATTGAACTATACAATGTTTGTTAACTTTGTATTTGTATTTTTTCCTATAAAATGTTACAGTAAAATTAGGAGATGTGTTCTGATGTAACAATAGGATGAGCAATTTTCATTTATTCCTTCAATATATATTTACTGAATAGCTACTATGTGCCTGGTATTGTTCTTTGCAAGCAGAAACAGCAGGAAAAAAAGTCCCTCCGTCACAGAGTTTAACATTCTAAAAGGGAGGAAATAGATAATAAAATATACAGTACATTTCATCAGTGGCTCTCCGAGTGTGATTGGAAATACAAATCTTGGGCCCCACCTGTCCAACCCAATCAGAAACTCTAGGAATGGGTCCCAGCCTTCTGAGTTTTAAGAGACACTTAAGGTGGTCCCTAAAGTTTGAGTGGTTTAGTTCTACCCAAATCAGAAATATTGCAAGTCTGAGAACAGATTCTCCTGAAACTGGTTCTCAAAGATGTGGTGTCTGGATGACCGGCATCAGCATCACCTGCGAACTTGCTAGAAAGTTCTGGGGACCACACTATGGGAACTTCTGTATTAAATAGTGATAAATGCTATGGAGGAAACATTGAGGACAGGATAGGAGATGTTTAGGTGTGTACAGACATACGCATATTTCAATAGGATAGCCAGCGTAGACCTCCCCGAGGTAACATTTAAGCAAAGAAGGAAAAGAGTAGTTAGGCAGATACATACATAGAGGAAGAGCATTCCCAACAGGTAGACAGAAATCAGGTCAGAGGGTATAAGTGGGAGAAAAGCTGGTGAGGGAGCTAAAAGCTTAGGATCATACAGCTTTTTTGTTAGGGCCTTGACTGGAAAGGTTTTCAGCAGAAACGTAGCCTGATGTGACTTGACTTTTCAAATAATCATATTGGCTCCTATGTTGAGAATAGACCATAAGGAGGGTGGTAAGTAAGGAAGGAAGCTGGGAGACCAGTTAAAAGAGTATTAACAACAGGCCGGGGGCGGTGGTTCACACCTGCAATCCTAGCACTTTGGGAGCCGAGGCAGGCGGATCACCTGAGGGCAGGAGTTTGAGACCAGCATGGCCAACATGGGGAAACCCCGTCTCTAGTAAATATATATGAATATATATTCATTAATATATAAATGTATGTATATAAAAATCATATATATTAGCCTGGCATGGTGTCACGCACCTGTAATCCCAGCTACTCAAGAGGCTGAGGCAGAAGAATCACTTGAACCCAGGAGGCGGAGGTTGCAGTGAGCAGAGATGGCGCCACTGCACTCCAGCCTGGACGACAGAGCGAGACTCCTTCTCATAAAAAAAAATAATTCAAAAACCAAGGTGAGATGTTACGATGTCTTAGTCCAGGAGTAGCCTTGGGGGTAATAAAATGGGATTGGTTTCTGGCAGCTTTTTTTTTAAGTAGAGTCACAGGATTTCTGTAAACTGGATATGAGGTATGAACATAAGAGAAGGAGTAAAGGTTGACTCCAGATTTTTCACCTGAATGCCTGCAAGGAATAAGTAATCACGTACTGCAGTAGGGAAAGTTGCGGAATTCCTCTTACAGTTAGATTGAAGGGCAATGTTTCCAAGTTGTTGTGACCATTCCAAGTGAAACTGATAACAGTGTTTTGTCAATGCGGCAGAGGGAGAAGAAAAAATAAGGTTCTGTTGACAATGATTGCCACAGATATCTCACCAAATCACTGCTGAATGGAGCTGCAAGCCAAGAATAGTTCCCACGGTTCACATGGCCGAGGAAGTTTACTGACATCAGGACTACATCAAGAAAAAGACTCCAGTTATGGGTCTTGAAAATTAATATCCTCATATGTTTGTGGAATTTATATATGACTTGTAATTCTAGAAATGTGAGAATTCTAGGTATACATTAAAAGGTTATATGCTGTCTTTTCTAAAGAAACGCCCTAATAGCAGTATTGTACAAATATTTTCAACTCTCAAAGAATAATAGCTAATGGAGTTGATGGGTTTTGGTTATCGGCACTGCTTCCTCTCTTCACCCATTTCTTTCTTTCTTTTGTTTTCTTTCTTTTTTTTTTTTTTTTTTCTTTAACTTGACTCATTTTGGAACATTTGGATCAGATCTTCTAGTTTGGCCCATAAACAAAGCTTCATCAGTAGAAAAGTTAAGACATCCTTCATATGAGAAGTATCCTTCCCTGGTTGGTTGTAGTCGTTGAAGTCTATGTGGAATTCTAAGACTGCAGGCTTGTTCATTGGAGTATACTTAAGTAGGACCAATTCTAAGTAAGCACTACTTCAATAATAATCATAATAGCTAACATTTCAGTGTTTACTAAATGTCAGATACTATTCTAAGTATTTTGCATATATTAATTCATTTAATATTGCCAGTGGTCCTGAGAGGTAGGCTTTATTTCTATGTTAAGATGAGGAAAGTGAGCCACAGAGTAACAAATTTGCCTAAGGTAACACAGCTAATACTTACTTCTAAGCTCAGACTGCCTGTTTCAGATCATAAGAAGTATCATCCATATAAGTAAGTCACCTGTTACATTATGAGTACAATGAGACATTATGAGTTCCACATTATCAAGGTCGTTGGACAGTTCCTTTTATTAGTGAGAGGTGTTAGCAACTAAATTTTTCTATTATCTGGGCCACATGTTCCAATTGACAGTGAGTGCTAGGCAGTTAACACAGGGTATGAACTTGAAAATCTGATTGCACCCTCAATATCTGGAATATACACTGGTCTATGACCTGAAATTGTCTGGACTGCAGCAGTCCAAGGGAATAATGAGCAGGGTTTGAGTAATGCTACAATGGAGTCATAGGTCATTTTGGAGAAGCTGTTCCACATCATTAGGGAGTCTGGGTTTCCCAGATGTGCCTGTTTTATCCTTTTTATTTTAAATAACATCACTGTCTTTCCTAACTAAAAATTCTTCATCTTCAGGAAATAAGATTAAGATACGGACTGAAAATATAAAATTAGCAATAATGTTTATTATTAGATATTTCCTCAATTAAATTTCTCCCTGAAAGTCTTAGGCAAAAGCCCCTGTCTCTTACTTCATATATCAAGTTTGCAGGGAAAGACATATATTCCATGAATATAACTTAATGGAGAACTGGCTTCAGAATTCTGCAACATTGGGAAGTCTTATCAAATATTAAGTCATTCATATGTTCAAAAATATTCATATTTATTGAGCATCTACCATCAAATATTTAATATGATAATGCCATATGGAGATTATATACGAGATACAATAATTCTTCCTAAAGAAAGTCAGGGAAAGCTTCACAGATAAGGTTGAGCTGAAGGTTTGGCAGGCGGGGAAGCAAGGAGAAGTAAGCAGAGAGAAAAGCACAAGCAACGCCATGGAGGAAAAAAATGTGGGCAATTCAGGGAACTCAAGTAATTTAGTGTTGCTATGCATATGGCCTATGGGGGCCAGAAGTGTAAATGTGTTACGGCTGGGGCGGGGGGGGGGGGGGCGAATGTGTTATGACTAAATTGTATCCCTTCAAAATTCACATTTTGAAGCACTGATCTCCAGTGTGACTGTGTTCAGAGATAGGTCCTAAAGGGAGTCAATTAAGTTTACAAGAGATCATAAAGGTGAGGCCCTAATCCTAAAGGTCTGCTGTCCTTATAGGAAGAGGAAGAGCCACCGGAGCTGGCTCATTCTGTACGTGTACAGAGAAGAGGCCATGTGAGGACATGGAGAGGCTCGAATATGCTCTTAATCCTATCAGTTTCCTGCTTTAATTCATCCCGTGGAATTGTTTTGTCTTTTCGACCCCTCAGCTATGTTATTTATATTGTGATATAGGGGATAATCAGAGTCCCCTGAGAAGGAACAAGGACATTGGCTTGTCTATTGTGCTATGCTTATATACTTTCTGTATATAATGCTTTCTGTAGAAAACCAGTAATACCCCAGAAACAACAGTAACTTGGCAAAATTACTATTTACCACTTCACTTTTTATATCACGTAAGTTAAACTTTATTTATTTACATGTGTCTCCCTCATTAGATGCCAAGTTCCTTGATATTTTATACATTTGTGAATTACTGGTAATTCACATGAAGCCTGATGCATTATAAGTATTCTGAACTGGTGAAATAAATATATGAATGGGCAAAAAATACATATACTAAAATGATCAAATAAAGGTTATGTTCAGAAACCTCTGTTCTGTTATATGGTAGTGTGATTTAAGATTATAATAATTGCATCAAAACGTTCTGAAATCACTTGTTAATCTTACTTATCAAAAACATCCAGTCCGTGCCACCCAGCAAGTCTCGATTCTTAATTCAAATGCGTGGTTCTTTTTCTTTTGACCCCATGAAGCATGATGTCAGGTATGCTCAGGACATTCTTAGAATCTACACTAATAACATCCTAGTCACAGACATACATGATATTTGTTAGCAGCTTATATGTTCTAGGTCTGTCTATACTCTGACAGAGATTAATATATTCAAGCTCAATGGAATGAAGAAGTAGCAAGGTGTATCTTAAAAACAGGGAAAAAATATTTAGACCACAATGAAAATAGAAAATATTTACAATGTCTGAGGAAATTGTAAGTGGAAGGTTATTTCTCCAGATGAAGGAGAAGTGGAAAATGAAAGCCACCGTTGACATATGAACATTTTGGGAAAGTCAGAACTCATTTGATTTTTTTCCCTCAATATTTAATCTTTTCTTCTGTCTACTGGTTCAAAGATAAAAAACTGAAACAAAGGTGTGAAGATGATAAAACCATAGGCACAGGACGCTGCCATTCAGAGGGATCTGTTCTGAATCAGGAAGCTGGTGTTCTGGTATACTCATTGTGGCAATCTGTTATTTCTACCAGAAAATTGGCCCTTCTGAACCTCCTGTGAGCTTTAGTTTTCCCACAAAAACTATGAGCAGGCAAAACTAGATTTCTATCTTGTTTTGAAGATCTGAAATTCAAGTCTCTGAATAATACTTAGACTTCTGCAAGCAAAATTTGGGATTAGGTCTGTGGCCCTTGAAATGCCCTCATTTTAACTAGACATAACATGTTTTTAAAACTTAAATCTTGACATTCATCCTATTCTGTGAGTAAATATCCCCTGAACATCTTCTGTTAATATACCAAGAATTCAGTAAACAAATCCCTT